GCTGCACTAACTGCTGCCGAGGGCCCCTCTGCACGCTGCTGCCGAGGCACCCGCCAGCCACTGCAGAGGCACCCTCTTGCACACCCTCCTGCGCACTGCGGCCGAAGCACCCGCGTCCCTGGTGGCCCTCGCGTCCTCGGGGTCAGCCCGCGTCCTTCTAATTCTCCCAACTCTTCTAGTTCTCCGAGGTTCGGGAGCGGCCAAGATGGGGTGTCCAAAAGGGGGGGGGGGTGCAAATCATGACCGGCGGCATGTGCGCGGCCCAGCGGGGGGGCCAGGGACGCAATGAAATAAGAAGAGGCGCCATGAAACCTGGGGAAATATCACGGCCCCCGCCATGATATCCAGCCCCCCTAGTCATCACCCCCCTCTTTTCCGCCCCCGAGAGGTGGCAGTACACCGTCACAATTAGTAAAGCTCGCATGCCAACTTAAGCTCGAACGCGCTTCTCAAGCGAGGCTACCGAGCGGTGGGGGCAAGTGCCGCCCGAGTCTGGGGCAACCATCTTCGCGCTGGGCGCTTTCGCGCCCCCCCCCCCCTGGAACAGGATGAGGGACTCTCGCCTCGCTCTGAAATCGCCCAGACCGCGAAGCGCGACAAACTACGCACGCTCGTGGTGGCCCTAGGCTTGTAGCACCTCATCTGTCACCGGCTCGTGCATCCGAGCGCAGTGGAACAGCGCACCGTCATCACGACGACAAGGGTACCGATACCGCTACTCAGCCTCCCCAGGACCTCTCCAGGGCTGCGCACCTGACCAGCCAGGATGTCGAGGCCAATGCAGCCATGGCGTCGAGGAAAGGGCAGGGTCAGTCGGCATCGGATCGGGAAATCGGATCATATCATGATCGAGCATCGAATCGGGCTGCCTTGGCTCAGAATCGACATCGGTTCGAATCGGCTGCGCCCGGATACATGACTAGGCTATGCCAGCACCGGGCCGCACAGGATCGCTGGGCATTCGAAGTCGAATCGGATCGAGCCGACTCAATTAGACATCGCATCGGATCGATCGAATCGGAATGGGTCCTGAGAAGGGTAGCGGCGTCGGTGTATTGCCATCTGCGCTGCCAATGCTTCGGTGGCAACTCATGAGAGCCTCCCATCCCATCTTTCTGACTCATGCGAATCGACGCTATCCGACGCCAAATGGCGCCAAGCGAAGCTAATCGAGGCCCAATCGACGCTGGTCGACGCTAAGTCGGCGCTTCCTCCTCGGTCAACAGACGCTGGCGCACGCTAGTGCACTCTAGAGACAGAGTTACGAGGACATGCGAAGCTCCCATGATTTGCTACCGAAGCTCCCCCATGCGGCAGGACCCTCGCCGCCGCCCGCCCGCTGTACTGAAGTATTGTGCGCCGATCACATGGCTGGCTGCGGTGCAGGTGCTAAGTCGACCCCCTTGCCAGCGGCTCCGAAGATTTCAAGATGGGCTCGAGCTTCGCGATACCCGTCGGTCGGAAGAAGTGGGTAGAAACATGAAGTAGGAAAGCGTTGGAAGCAGATTGGACTTCCGCCCGCCCCAAGAACAGGATAGAAGAAGGATAACCACTCGACTCTTGATGTAGGAAGGCGCTTTTGAAATATACTGGGATCTGGAAGTTCAAAAGTACCTACTTTCACCGACCTGAGTGTAACCCCTGTCGCTGTGTCCGCCGCAATGTTGATACATACATATATATATATATATATATATGTATATTTATGTATCGGTATCGATATCGATATAGAAATAGAAGTATGGAGATGTATCCATGTATATACATGCTAGAACCATCGCGCGCTTCGCGCGCGCTCAAGGAAGGTCTAGCTAGGCTTGATAGGCTAACTCATGTAATATCATGTTGGTCGCTTCTTGCGTCCAGGAACTCCCTTGGAGGCCCTGCGCAAGCCTCGGAATCGTATAGAAGAGGAAGTGCGGAAACGCAGAAATCACAAAATTCTTTCCAGGTGAGCAAAATTTGGGGTCATCAAAAGCTTTTGGGGGGGGGGAGGTGAGGGGGGTCTGAATTGTGGTCTGATGTGCAAGAGTAGACTGGGGGTCAAACTTGGACAAAAAATGATTTTGGGGATTTCCATTTTGTTCCAGTTCCTCGGCGCTGTTCGGCGCTGTTTTTTGTTTCTTGGGTGGTCTTGGGGTGGTCGTGGGCGGCTCTTCGGCGCTCTTGGACCATTGGAAGCTCGAAAACGCGAGAAGCCAAAAACATAAGAACAAAAACAATGAACATCAACGATGTTGGCCTCTTCGGGCCGTCACGGGACGCCTCTCGGACCTCTCTTGGGTTCTCTTGGAGGCCACCTGGGAGCCTCGAGAGCTGTCGGAGGCTGACTTGGGCTGCTTGGGAGCGTCTTGGACCATCCTTTCGCATTCTGGGGGCTCCTGGAAAGCGTCTTGGGCCCTCCTGGGGCGCTGTGGAGGCTCCCCGGAAAGGCTGGGGGAGCGGTACCGCGAGCGTCCCCGAGATGTTCCGGGGAGGTGTGGGACCCGGGGCCAGGGGCGGCACTTACTGATATTATATATCACCCACAGAAGCCCCTGGGGTTGGGCAAGGGTCCTGGTCGGGGGTTTGGTACACACCGTGCCCTCCCTGGGGCGCGGCTTTGGAGTGCCGAACGTGACGTGGCCCCGGGCGGTGGAATCTGCTCGAGGCGGGCAGGTGGTCCAGCCTCGCTCTCCTCTGCGGCCCCCCCCCTGGGCGCCAGGGCCCGCCGCCGCCGCCCCCCCCCTCGCCCTGGAGCAGGGCGCGCGGTCCCCGCTCCTGCGTGACGCGCGGCAGCGGCGTGGCCTCCGGCTTCATGCGCGCGTGCCTCGGCGAGCCCGCCCCCCCCGCGGCCCGAGGGCCCCATCGGCCGAGCGCCGCGCCCGAGGCTCAGCGAGCGGCGAACGTGTCCACAGCCGCGCCAGTTGCGGTCTGGGCTCCGGGGCGCGATCCAGCGGGTACGCCTAGATGAAGGCAGCACGAGGATAAAATCAGGGTGAGGGTGCATCTAGAATCTCTGAGATCTGGCGGCTTTGGAGGACGCATCGGGCTTCCCAGAGCTTTCCTCCACGCTCCAAGAGCGTCGCGGAGCACTCGGGAACGGACATATCTTCGTCTTAGCCTCGTCCGATACGCGGAAGAGGCAGATGCCCGGTCAGACCACAAGGGTCGGCCCGTAAACGGGCGAGGCTGCAGCGCACTGGGCAAAGCGCGCACGTGCGCAGGGGAGAGCAGACGTTGTGCCTCCGAGGGGGGGGAGGAGGAGAAGAGGTGGGGCGGTCCTCACGCGCGAATGCAACACTCGACGACTGCATTTTCCGCGCGGGACTGCCGGGAAGGAACGCCCCGTATCCGCGGGGTCGCGGCCCCGGGCCCCACCCACGAGGCCGCGAATACGGATATGTTGCTCGCCCACGAGAAGCTTGGGGCGCCGCACAACCAGCCTCGAGCTTGCCCCAACGCCTAGGCTTCTGCTGGTGACGACGACGGCACCTCCGCCAACGTAAGCAACGAAGGCCTGCTCTTTCTCGTGGGGGAGGAGGGCTCGCGACTACAGAGCTTCACCAAGCTCGGCCTCGGCCGCTGTGCGAATCAAAAGGTCGCCATGCAGACAAGGAGATCACCACACGAGCCGACCTGCGATAGGCAACCGCCTCTGGGGATCGCCCCGCCCACCTCCCTGCGAACCTCCCCGCGACTCCGCCCCCTCCCCCGCCCGCATCGTCTTCCTCCTCCTCCTCCTCCTCCTCCTCCTCCTCCTCCTCCTCCTCCTCCTCCTCCTCCTCCTCCTCACGCAGCGCGGGCCACGGCGGTCGCTCCGCGAAGCCCGCGCCGCGCCGCGCGCGGCCCGCGCGGCGCTACGCCTGGACCTGCACCCCACCTCGCGGCCTCCGAACAGCCTCGGAAAAGCCTCGGAATGGGGAGGGCCTCGGGGAACAAAAAGCCTCGTGACCCCAAGAGCCCCTGCCAGAAAGGAAAAAGAGAACAGCTCCAGGGGGGCCTCAGGGAGAAGAAGCGGCGGGGGCCGCACAGGCCGCAGGGGCGCGACAGCGCAGGGCCCGTTTCGGCCGCCACCCGAGACCGAGGCCCTTTCGCCCCCCCCCAGCCACCACCCTCATAAGGGATGACGGCCACCAGCACGCAGTTGCGAGGCTGGGGTGATGGTAGGAGGGCCCAAGCTTACATGCTCATGCGAGCCCCCGCCCCGAGGGCCCCGCAAGAGCAAGCTGGAGGAGCCTCCTGGGCACACGAGAACAAAAGAGGAGGTGCAGGGCCCAAGGGGTCTCCAGGGTCTCAAGGGAGGGCGACGGCGCCCCGCGGCCGCGAGGCCAGGAACTAGAAGCGGATGTTGACCTCACCCCCTTCGGCCCGTCCGAACGGGCGTCCCCGCCCGTGGCGTAGTAGTACCAGGGGTTCGCCTCAAATTCGGCGTGGGCGCCGTCGTAGAAGTTCTTCTTGGGCCCGTGCTACGGGCCTGTAAGGATGCCTGTGGTGTTTCCTCGTCGTTGCTCGTGTTGGGCTCAATGGGTAATAGACCCGCTTCGCTGGAACCGTAGCAGTACTAAAACTTCGGTCGCTCGAAGCCGCCTCTGTTGTCCCTGACGGTCCTCATGATGATTGTGTTAATGCTGCTGTCGTCGCTGACGCTGCCGTTGGTGCCAATGATCGTATCGTCGGTGTTGGTGGTAACTCCTCGCTGGTACCGTACGGTCTCATACTCGTAAATATGAAAATGCCTAGCCGTATGGTCGGATATGATGCAAGGTGTCGAGATAACCATACTGGTATAGGAGATCGATATTGCTCGCCGCAGTGCGTCACTAGCTGCTCGTACCAGTTAGCTCATTGGTTCCTTCAGATTCATTTGCCTCCAAGGCGCGGGGCTTCTGCGCATCTGCTTGTCATGGCTCAAGGTGCCAATATTGATTTCAAAAACCAAGAAGTTCTTCTTCGTGGATAAGCTTGAGGATGTCCTGGATGTTGTTGTCAGTTTGCTCGTAGAGGGAGCTGATCTTGACTCATCTGATGTTCCCAGTCTGGTCGACGGCCTGTTTGATTGCCTCGCAGGTGTCGGTGATAAAGCGGCCACTGACAGACATGATGAGTAAATTGGAGACCTTCGCGCTGTCGTCGTCGTTGATGTTGTGAAGGTTCTCGGTCTCCGCGTCTGCCTCCTGAATATGCGCAGGTGCCATGGCTGGTATCCGCGCCGCAAATCCATCGATACCGATGATCTTCGGACCTATCGGCGGCCTCTGGAGCTGCATGTACGGGATCTCTGCGTAGTCCTCGAGCAATCCGTTGTGTTTGCTGGTGCGCCGTACTCTCTTGATTTCCGCCTTGATGGTTCCAACCTTGTCGCTAAAGGGTTTATCCGCGCGTTGATCCAGAATGCTGCACATAACCGTGGGGCTTTGACATGCTTGAGGAGCGTGTTCGGCGTGCTGTTCCCTTAAGCAAACCTGGCACGTATTCCCGGTGACGATGTTGGCGATATTATCCGCCAGCTGATGGTGGCTGTTGATGCGCTTTGTGCATGCCGCTTTGCTACCGAGCTTCGCCCGGCACGGGTAGCACATGTATGTCTGGCAACTAGACATGGCGCTGGTCGTGGCATCGGTGATTATGGGAAGTGCAACTGTCGTGCATGGCGCCATTCATTCCGCTCTCCATCTCCAATCGCCGTGCTTCGTCGTCAGTCCATGGCGTGGCTCTCCGTGATGCTGGTGTTACGATGCTCTTGGTAGCTCGTGGGTCTTCGCGCGCAGCAGTGAACCACTCGACGATGTCCTTGATCGTCGTGGTCGCGCTTCTTTGCTCAATCTACTCGCTTATCTTGTGAATGTCGTCGTTGATCATCGTGGCCCAGGTTCCCGAGTTGGCGATGTTGTCGTCGACCAGCGCTTGGAGCTGAGGAGGAGGATGAGGACAACGACGACGACGACGACGCCGACGATGAGGATCTCCTCCTCCTCCTCCCGAAGGGGTGCGCAGAGGAGCCTCATCCTCCTCGGCCCCCCTCCTGCCAGGGAGGACGAGGAGCACCTCCTCCTCCTCCTCCTCCTCCTCCTCCTCCTCCTCCTCCTCCTCATCGGCTACTACACGTAAGAGTGACCTTCCGCTGGAGTGACCTTTGTTGCGGGCGCGCTGGGGCCCCAGAAGGCTCCATGCGATGCGATAGCAGCGGCTTGCGCGCTGCGGTTCGGCCTCCCCGTGGCCCCCCAAAGTCGCGCACCAGGCAGGGGTCTCTCTTGCCCAGGGTCACTCTTGCGTGCAGCCGACCTCTGCGCTCGAGCCGCGCGCAGTGGGTGGGCTGAGGGCCCGGCTCGCTCCTCAGCTCCGCGACGGACTTGGCCAGGTACGGCGGCAGCGGGCCCACGGCGCCGCCCTCTCGGTCGTTGTCGTCGTCGTCGTCGTCGTCGAGGCGCCAGCGTCCTCGCTCCACGAGGTCTTGTGGTATGTTCCTGGATCTCGTCTGGCATCGACCAGTTGCACGTCGCGCTCTGTACGATGCCGGCCCGCTCTCCACCCCCTCCTCCTCCTCCTCCTCCTCCTCCTCCTCCTCCTCCTTCTTCCTTCCCGACGGCACCGAAGCGCGAAAGCCGCAGCGAGGCACTGAATTAAACAGAAGAGGAGGGGGAGAAGATGGAGGAAACAAGAAGGCCAATGCGGGAGTTAATCGCGCACACCCGGCGCCCATCCCATTGCCGCGAAACTTTGTTGGGTGCCGCACACCTGGTGAATCTCCTCCTCCTCCTACTCCTCTAATTCATGCGTCCGTTGCACGTCTCCCTCGCCCCTCACCCCTCGGACGAACCGACACATGACTGACACATCCGAGCGGACTACAATGTGACCGGAGCCACTTGAGCGGACCAGATAGGGACCAACAATCAAGCCACTCAAACTGACCCCGAGAAACCCGACGATGTGTTTTTTCCGTGAGCGGCCTCACAAATCCCGACCTCTTGCCCAGATGTAGTTTTTCGCCCTGGGTCCGTCTTTGATGGTCTTGGGGCCCGATGCTGAGCCCCAGAGGCAGAAATCGAAGAAGACGCCCGGATTGAAAAAATCGTATCGTCGGAGATCTGGGTCCTCATTCTCCCCCCCTGCGGCCCAGTATGCGAGCTCTCGGGTCGGCCAAAGGGGGGGGGGGTAGCAAAACGGGGGTCAGCAAATCAGCTCACATAGCTGGCGTTCCCGACGGCGTAGCCGAAACCAGCTGCTTGCAGCAAACTTCGCAGCCCCCTTCCCCTACGGTCGGGATCTTTTTGCTTGGCGTGTCGCGACGGCGGCCCTGGTGACGCGCTGTGCCCTGCAAGCGGGTAGCATGTCGCCCCGCTCCGCGGGGCGTGAGGCTGGGAACAGCTCGGGAACAAGGTTCAGAGTATTACTTGTTCGCGCGCGCGCGTGGCGGCCCCTGGGGGTCCCCATACGAAACGTACCCAGGGCGAGGCCTGGTAGACTATCTCCAAAAATTGGATTTGCTCCTGGGCGCGGCTCCGAGAAACCCCAAGACAGCCCCAGGATCGCCACGTCGGAGCTGCAAGGGCCTGAAGGACGGCCCAAGATGGCCTCCTCAAGACGGCACAAGAAGCTCCCCAAACAGCCCCAACACAGCCAACGAAGGCCCCAAAAGAACATCCAAAAGAGCCCGAACATGGAGAAACTCAAACTCTGATGGATGGAAGCTGACCCCCATGACCGACCGGCCGGCCTTGAAGGCGAGGACGTTCGCCGCAGCCTCCGGGTTGAAGCCCAGCCAGTCGCGCAAAAGCCCGCTGTCGGCGGCAAGCCAGGTGGGCAGGTGCCCCACCAGCACGCACAGCACCTTCGACCTTCGCGAGGGGCAGACTGGGACAGTCCTTAGGCAGACAGTCAAGCTGCTACCAGAAGTATCGCAGAATAAGGAAACAAGGCCCCCTTTGAGCCCCAAAGGCGCCCCTTCAGCACGCAAATATATCCAATGTCAGCGTCTTCGCTGTAGCATCAGAATTGGAACAGGAACAGGGACAGGGATACACATTCATGACTATCAAGTCGCTAAGACCTCGCTGGGCGCATCCCGATATGATGATACATGCCCGCCCAAATTTGGGAGACTGCCAAACATCTCTTTGCTACGCACCGCAATCCTCTTCAAAACGCGACGTGCCCCCTGCGCTAGTGAGAGATTCTCACCCGCTGCGGCTAGATATCTGCATTACGCGCATAGTTCTGGTGGCACACACGAAGACGGAGAGTCCGAAACAGAACCTGGACAATCAAGCGTAAGCGGAGATAGCATGAGGGCGCGGCAAGCCATAACAAAGATTCTAAGACACGCTTGCTGAAAGCTGCAGTCGCCTTTCCCACTCGGACCCACCTATAACCAATGAGTGGGCAGGCATGTGATTGCCGACCGTCATCGATCCCCGATGGTGTTACGTATTAATGCTGAACATTACGCCCAAAAATACACCCTGGGGCTGTGAGTATGTGCTGCCCCGAACAAGAGAGAGAAAGAGAGAGCGCTAATTCTGGCACTACGCGTAACAATCCGAGCTATGTGTGGTCTGCCGTCACCATGATACATCCAGCCCGAGGGAACAAGTCCATGACAGACCGTCCCAAGCTGGGCAAGGCAACATAATAATATAACACCTGGGAAATGCAGGTTGGACGTGGCCAGGGCTTCAAAAACTAGCAGTGGCTGAATCGCGCCCGAAAGAGTTGGGATGAGGTCGCCAGGGCTACAAATAACTAGAAAGAAACTGGCCAGGGCTGGAAAGAGAGAACCGGCTGGTCCCAGCAACTTATTCCAGCTCCCCTGCGCGCTCGGCACGCATTGCCCGAAGCATGCGACTTCACGTAGTTCCCAAAATACCATCGACGTCGATCTAAGTAGGTCGTTGTACACCCCTCTGCCCTCACATGTCCCAGCTCTGTACATACGTCGGGACGTAGTTGACGCTATGCTGCAAAATACTTCATGCTCGGCCGAGCAGTTGGACACGGTCCAGCTAACCCCATCATCGACCAGCGACAGCATTCTCCAGCAAGTGTTTTTTGCTGGGGCTTGCGTGCGCAATTCCCAAAGGGAGCACATTCCACGTGACGTGCCCCCAGCGCATCACCCTACCAGCCCTTCTCCCGAGGCTCGCTGGGCGCCCAGAAGCCTCACGAGCGGTTTCCGAGGCGTTCACGAGTTCCCGAGACAGCTTCCAAGACGACCCCAAGAGCGCACCCAGTCGATCCATGAGGCCCCAAGAGAGGCTCTCGGGAGCCCTAAGAGAAACGCTCAGCAACCACATCACTGAAATGTCCCAGTTCTTCGGATGACTGTCGCTTCCCACGCTTCACTGCTCAACATGGCCACCAAGGTGCTCATGGGGGCCGCAAGATGGCCCAATATCGGCCCGGGAAATTCATAAAATGAAGGCTTCCGCTCACACCTGTTAATGTCCCTCTCTCTCTCTCTTTCTAGTTCTCTCGTTTCTCTTTCTTTCTCTCTTTCTCTCTCTCTCTCTCTCGTGCTATCTTTCTCTCAGGCTTGGTGCTCTCTCTCTCTCTCTCTCTCGATCTCTCTCCGCCGTCTTCTCTACAGTACCACCAGTATGCATGATACTGCCCTTCCGACGCTGGGGAAGCGAACGCATACGCTGGCATGCCGACGTGGTACGGCCCTGGGGCTCAGAGGGAATATACATCAAATGTTGTGGCCTTCTCGACCCTGCGGACGAGCGTTTCCGGGGTTGCCACACGGAGAGCCGCGCTGGCACCGTGGTGGAAGTCGCCGCGGGCAGCTGGATAGCTCGGTCCAGTACCCGTGATACGTACTTACAGCTGCTATTCCGTGGCCAGCCAGGTAGCACTGAGGGCGTCCTGATAGTCCACCGTCCACGCTCGAAACAAATTGAGATCGCGTGAGCACCGTTCGCAATGTGCACCATGCCTGTCCTCTTCAACGATGAATTTCGGCCGAACGAGCCTCCCCCATGCCAGAGCATGCGCAAGAACAACATGCCTGAGCAACAACGTTTTCATTTCAAGCCTAGCAGCGGCAAGTCTCCAAACGATGTAATACTTGGTCCCTCGACCCGCAACCGTAATCCCGAAGTACACACGAAAGCTGTCTCTACCAAATGCGCGCAGACTCCACGTTGCTTCCAACCATCACGAGCACGAGACAACACATCATTTCACGCGTCAGGTCTCTGGCAACGGGCGCAAACATAGCCTTTGCTGCCCCTTGCGCAGACTACCCGACGGTGCGCATGGCCCCCAATCCCATAACCCGACAATGCCAAGGTGGGTCGTCGCAACCAAGGGGGGCACCACCGCACGCAGGAAACGGGACCCAGGGAACCTCCCTGGACTTTCAAAGATGCCCCGAACGTCGAGAGCCTCCTTGACCCTCTCTCCTCCTCCGCAGTCCTTGAATTCACAGAGATGGTCGAGGAGGATAGAGGATAGAGCACCTGGACGCATTGTCCTGGCCTAACCTCACTACATTGGGCCAGCCGATCCCGTGGAGCCCCTTGAGGGAGTAACAACCCGCAGAGCCTCTTGCACTACCTTCGGGGCCCCTGGGCGGCTTTGGGAAAAGCGTTTCCTACTTCTTTCGAGGTTCTGCCGCCCTTTGCGGCTCGGCGTGTTCTGCTTGGAGAGATGCCGGGCGTCGGTGGTCGCCGTCTTACCACACGCCAGACCAGCGAATAACGAATACCGTGGTACCGCGCAGTTACGGATAAGGGTGAGGGGGCGGCGGTGTCGTCGGCAGTCTTCGAGGCTCTGAAGAAGCCCACCGCAGGCGCCCATCTTTGTTTAGATTATACAACGAGCCCGCCGCGGGCGCAGATTCTTTCGTCAAGACAGTGTGGGTGGGTCGCGGGTGGGTTGCGGGAGGGTCGCGTTGGGTCGCCTTGTGGGCCGCGGGGTGGATCGCGGGGTGGGTCGCGGACGGACCAGCAACACCAACAACATCAACAACAACACCACCACCACCACCACCAACAACAACAACAACACCAACAACCACAACTACACCAGCATCAACACCGACAACACCACCAACAACAGCGACACCACCACCACCAACAACAACAACACCACCACCACCATCAACAAGACTGTTCGCTCCTGTCTGCTCGCGTGCCAATCAATACGTATATCCCAAACCCTCGGCACCCGCCCTCGTCGTCTTCGATCATACCCCCTTTGGGGATATATCTTCCTTACCTGCCACGTGGATTTAGTGCAGCCCCTAAAAGAAGGGAAGAGAGGACGGGTGAAGGGGGAGGGAGAAGAATGAGGCACGAGAGAAATTAGCAGGAGGGGGGCAAGGAGCAGAAAACAAGTGGTATAACCGGACGGGCAGATCGGGTGGGCAGACTCATAGCGGGCAGGTCGGGAAGGCGGGCCCAGGCGACGAGGTCGAGCAGGCGGGTTGCTGAAGCGTGGGCCCTGCATCAATCGCGAGGAAGTCTCGAGCGATATCGCGATTCCCAAGTAAATCGTGAGAAAAGCCACAGCGAGAGCGTGATTCCTGAGCGCCGAGGGCGCATCGTCGGAATACATTGCGAGGAAGTCCCACGCGAGAGCGCGATGCGTACATGAATTGTGCGGAAGTCTCGCGGGAGAGCGCGATTTAGGAATACACTGTGAGGAAGTATCACGCGGGAGAAGTGGTTTGTTGCTATAAACCGTGGGGCCAGGGGCCCAGTTTGATCCCCGTGACTTTTCCGGATAAATAAAATCGAGCCCCGGGAGAAACACTTCAAATGAAAAACACCATAGTCACCGGAGGGGGGATCAATAATAATGATTCTTGAATAGTTAGAGTTCAGCAACAACAAGCATGTTAAGACTGTTTGCTCTTATCTGGTCAAGTGTCATTCAGCGTACATTTCCCGAGCCCTCGATATCCGCCCTCTTCGTCTTTGGTCATACCACCTTTGGTGGGTATATACTTCTTCGTGAGTTCTGCGACAGAGGGATTCCTAAGTAACAACAATCCCCAGCGAACGAACGATTCCTAAATGGCAAGAGCGCAGCGCCTGAGTGAATTGCAAAGAAATCTCAAGTGGGAGCGCGATTCTTAAGTAAATTGCGAGGAAGCCTCAAGCGGGAGTGCGGGACCAGAGTAAATTTCGAGGAAATATCAAGCGGGAACCGTTGTTGTTGTAAACCGGAGGCCAGGGGCACAGTTTGAGGAGGAAGACTTTCCCTTGTAAAAAACACGGTGCGAACGCCGGGAGGGGCACTTCAATTGAAAAAATGCAATATGCACCGGAAGGGGGAATCAACAATAATTATTCTTCAAAAGTGAGAGCTCAACAACAACGACACTTCGCACCACGGAGCCCCACTTCAGCCACGCGCCCAGGACACTGAATAACCGTTCGGCCCCCTCACTCTGATATAGAGGATATCGGAGGAGGGAGGATCGAGGATCGAGGATCCCCCCCTGTGGCGACCCCCCTTGGCAGCGCCCTTCCCCTCACGCCCCATCCCTGGCGGGGTTCGCCAGGCTGGCGCCAGAGGCGCCGCCAGGGGTGCGTGGAGCGGAGGCCACCTACAATCAAGCTGACGCCATAAGGAACGCTAAATAAGGAAGGAAGCCCCTTTTTGGCACCAAGAGCGCCTGGGTGAACGAGAAGACCTAGAAGAACAACCACATGAAAAAAACAAATGAACATCAAGCACCATCCGAACCCAAAGTGGACCTTATATCAGCGTCTTCAAGAGTTTTGGCTTAGCGTGCCGCAGCGGCGGCCCCGGCGACACGCTGCGCACTGCAAGCGGACAGCGTGTCGCCCCGCTCCGCGGGACTAGAGGCTGGGCAAAGCTCGTAGCGTGGGGTTTCAGGGTGTTGGGGCTTGGTTCGCATGTCGCACTGGAGCGTGGTGGGCCAGACCCGGCGGAGCGACACGCGCTAACCAACGTGTAGCCGACCCTCTCTGGGGCCTGGTTTTCGGCTGGTAACTCGTGCCTCCGGCGGCCGCCTGGGTCGATTTGGGGCACCCCGGGAACGTTCTCGGGAACGCCTCCAGGAGCAGAGTTTGGTCAGAGTTTTTCCCAACCATCCTGTGGTGTTGGGTCCTCGTTTTGAAGAGACAGCGCCCCGCGTTCACTCCTTCCTTCCTCCCGCTGCCCCCTCCCTCCCTCCTCCCTCCTCCGCGTCAGCCACACCCATTTCGGCACACCCCTCACACGTTTCGTGGCCCCATAGGGAGCTCCACCGAGGGCCCCAGTGGCTGCGTCCGCATGGCGGCACCGCACCCATTTCGGCACACCCCTCACACGTTTCGTGGCCCCATAGGGAGCTCCCTCTCATTCGTTCAACCTGCTTTGCGGTACTCGTAACTGCATATCGTTGGGTCCATCGCCAGGATATTTTTTTTGACAGACCGAACACTGAAGCTCAAGCTCCACCTTCCACAACGACTCTGCGCACGAGCGTGCCGTCTGCTGCCCTTCAGTGGCGCTCACGAGGTGCAAGGCACCACGTCGCATCTAGAAGCTCCCGCCAGGGAGCATCCCAGTGAAGCTAAAAGTCCATTCTAGGAGAGTTTGGTCAGAGTTTGGTCCGAAAGCACTTCCCGAAACGCCCAGTTCATGACCGTGTCTCCGCGCATCGCGCCCCGCACCCCTCCACGCGCGGACATCTTCGCGCCCTCGCGCCGCCGCCCTGGCGAGGGGCGCCGCGCCGGCCCAGGCCGCGACGCGCGAAGCGCGGTTATCCTCGCGCCCCTGCAGGCGACCTGGACCCCGGGGCTCCGCGCGAAGCGCGGCTATCCTCGCGCCCCTGCAGGCGACCTGGACCCCAGGGCTCCGCGCGGACCTCCGAGAGCTTCTGCCCGTGAGCTGATCGGGTCGGGCGAAAGGGGGGGGATAGCAAAGGGGGGGGGGGAGAATCAGCTCACGTAGCTGATTTTCCCGGCGCCTCCCGGCGCCGGAGGCGGCTATGTATCGAGGAATGGGCCCCTCGGGGAGGCCGAAACCAGCTGCATGCAGCAAATTTCGTACCCCCCCCTTTCCCAATCCCCCCCTTTCGTCCAGCCCGAGCTGAGCTCCCCGGGCGGGTGCCGCCAGAGGGCCTCGTCAGCGCCACGTTCAGTCGGCGCCAGTCGGCCACGAACCCGACGTCCCCGCGCGCGTTGGCGCGCACGAGGCTCAGGAGGATCACCTGCTTCTCGCAGCCTCCCCGCCAGGGCCAGCCCACATGACTACCTACCAGACCACCCCAACCCAACCCGAAGACCCGCATTTCGGGTTGGGGAGGGTACGGGTTCCATGTGTGTTTTCTCGATGTTCCTCGACCCCCCCCCACTGGAAATCGACCGTAAATTTGAGCCTTCGGGTTGGGTTGGGGTGGTTTGGTGGGTGGTGACCACAGGGCAGCCGGGGCCGGCCGCCTCCTGGCCCGAGCCAGAGGGAACCGCGGAGTCGGCTCGGGTCGGGTCGCCGAGGCGAAGCGTCCCGAGTCGAGTCGAGGTCGGATCGCCGCGCCTGGCTCCGGCTGGCCCTGGCCGGTGCCGGCGGATCGAGCCGAAACGGATGGAATCGGAATTCGCCTTTTCCTGGCCAGCGAATCGCATCGCAGCGAATCGGATCGCAGGCGCCCCTGGGCCGTGCCGAGCGTGATGGCGCTGACAACCGAGCAGGGGAGGCGCCTCATCCTCTCTCCTCCCACCTCCACGCCGCCCTCCTCGGCATTTTCCTGTCATTCTGCTCCTCCCGCGTCCTCCCTCTCCTTCGCATCATCGGCCGCCTCCACCACCTCCTCCTCCTCTTCCTCCTCCTCCTCGTCCTCCTCGACTGCTCAACCTCCTCCTCCGCCTCCTCTTCCGTCCTGTTCCTCCCCCCTCGTCATCGAACTCGCGAGAGGTCCAAGCGTGTTCACAGATCCGTGGGCGAAACATCATGTCCACATATGCTTATTTCCGCTACAAGCACGGTTGCACCGCACCTGTTGCAGCGGTTGCGCCGCACCTGTTCTACGTAGTTGGAGTTGCACGGTGGGGGGGCATGTCAATCACTGTTCGCGGCTTGTTTGTGCACGAGGTACAAGCCTGCGCCTCAGGTGCACTCACTACCTTGCTTGGTTGTCGCCGACTGCCCTGCTCTACATGTCAGATTATGCCCCCCCCCCGCTTCAGTATCGTCCTACGTTTCCTCATGACCCTCCTGGTCCAACTCATCGTCATCCCCCTGCCCGTCCCATCTATCCCTATCCTGCGCCTCCTCCTCGTCGTCCTCATCCTTCTCCCTGTTTCCCGACCCAACAAGGTTGGGCTGTCAGATTTGAAACGAACACTTCCCGATCCGCCATGACCGCCCTGCATATCGCGGCCGCCAAACCGCAAGACTCTGGGTGGTATCCCGCCTCCCCGGCCCTGCATACCGCGGCCGCCAGGCCCTGGAGGCCCCCGTGGGTCCAATGATGTTATTGAACAAGCCTACCTGAGAGACAACCCGACCAGCGAGGCGTCACGGTGTCACGCAGTCCAGGCGTCACGACGACACGCCATCCACAGACATCTAGAATCTATGTGTGCTAAAAAATATAAGACGAGCACACGCCAATAACACACATCAGGCACATACGTTGAAACTGCAATTCAACAACATGCACCAACGATGGACACAAATAACAAGCATCAATCGCAGAAGCCCGCAGTGTGCAACAAGCACACGCGTCAGATGTAGGCATTCAGAATAGACGCCCAGAACAGGTATTACGAACAGACGCTCAAATATTAGATCAGGAACATGCATCAGCAACGGACATCAAACACAGACATCAAACACATTGCTCAACCGCATGCGTTAATGACGCACGGCAGCAGACATTAAGCTTAAGCACCGCTACGCCTGAACAGTCATAAATAGTAGATGCCCTGAACATGCAGCAACAGCATACCCAAAACCATACAGCAACCCAGTGCACCAAACAACGCAACCAGTAATACACACTACGAACATACATCAAGAGCAGACGCCTAGAACATACACCAGGAATATGCACCGACCGCATACCTCAAGTTCGAGCACCCTTCGGGTGATAAGGAGGTTCGGGGGGGGGGGGAGGAACCAACGTCTCACTCGATCGGTCTCACTATCGATCTCACGATCGATCTCACTATCGGTCTCGCTCGATGGATCTCACCCGACCGATCTCACAATCGATCTCACTCGATCTATTTCATTCGATCGATCTCACAATCGATCTGACTATCGATCTCACAATCGATCTCGCTATCGATCTCACGATCGATCTCACAATCGATCCCACATTCGGTCTCACTATCGATCTCACTACCGAAATCACAATCGATCTAACAATCAACGTCATCATCATCATCAACATCATCGTCATCAACATCATCGTCATCAACGTCATCATCATCACCAGGGCACCATCATCATCATCACCACATCACCATCATCATCACTATCATCATCATCACCACCATCATCATCATCATCGTGACACCATCACCGTCACCATCATCATCATCATCATCAACACCACCACCATCGGAACACCATCATCATCAGCAGCATCGGAACACCACCATCATCATCATCATCATCATCATCTCAGCATCACCAATCTCATGAAAAGCATCATCAACATCATCATCATCATCATCGGGACACCATCATCACCATCATCAACATCATCATCAACATCATCATCATCGGGAAACCATCATCATTGTAACCATCGTCATCACCATCACCTCATCGGGACACCATCATTATCATCAACATCAGCTTCAGCATCATCATCATCAGCGGGTCACCATCATCAAAATCGTCACCATCACCTCATCATCATCCTCATCATCAACATCACCATCATCATCGGGACACCATCATCTTCTTCATCATCACCATCATCGGGACACCATCATCAACATCACCACCATCATAAACAACATCATCATCAACCTCATTCATCATCACCATCAGCATCGGGACACCGTCCTCATCATCAACATGATCATCATCAGCAGCATCATTACCATCATCATCTCATCATCTCAGCATCATCAACCTCATCAGGATCATCGACACCATCATCATCATCGGGACGCCATCATCATCAGCAACATCAGAATCATCAACATCATCATCATCGGGACACCATCATCATCACCACCATGGCCATCATCATCACCACCACCATCATCATCATCATCATCAACATCGTTAACATCATCATCATCGGGACACCATCATCATCACCACCATCACCATCATCATCATCAACAACATCATCGACATCATCATCATCATCATCATCATCATCATCATCATCAACATCATAATCATCATCGGGACACCGACGGGACACCGGCGGGACACCGGCGGGACACCGCGGGCCACCGGCCCCCGGAAAGGAATCATTTGGTCCGGCCGCGCCTCAGCCGGAGGCAGGACACCAGTGGGACACCGCGGGCCACCGGGCCCTGCCAAGGAATCATTTGGTCCGGCCGCGCCTCAGCCGGAGGAGACTTTCTTCTCGCCAGCCCACGCAGCTTCGCCTCGCCCGCACGCACGGCACGCACTAACACGAAACCGAAACCGATTTCCCGGTAGGGGGGCTCTCCGTTCCACTTCGATCTCACCCCCTCACCTGCGATATACCAGCTACAGACATCAAGATCATACACCAGTAACAGTCACCAACATCATACATCAACAACAGACATTACAAACGCCAAGACCATGCACCAATCAAAGACAACACGAACAGTCACAAACAATGTACAACGGCAACTACTATGCATCATCAGCAGGCGCCAAGAAAATTCATCAACCCTACACCCTGGCAGCATACACAAATATCAGACACCATGGACACCATACCAGATAGCAGACTCCATGGACCATTAGCACATACACCAGGACCATACATGAATACCACATCAACAACGTGCACCAAGTACACACAACAAAAACATACCATCCAAAAACAGGCTTGGTAATTTCACTAAACAGAATTGGTGGGGACTGCTCAAGTCAACATAGGTCGCCGAATCTGCGTTTGCACTGCTTCACCGCTTATGGTTAACAAGTTGCTCCGCGCCCTTGTCGTCTGCTCGTATTTCTCCCCCTGCTCTTATCCTACCCGTCTTGGTACTGATGTTACAGCGGGTGCTACTGCTGCTCCGCCTTGACTGAGTGAACTCCTCCCGCACCTCCTCCTCTTCCTCTCGGCCGCATCTCCCTCAGCCTGTTGTCCGCGTCCCGCTCTCTTTCTACTCCGCCTCCTCGATCCCCTTCCCCATCGGCCTTGGAAGGCGTCCACTGTCGACACCTGGATGAAGTTTTTCACGGGCGGGGGGAGCTGCCTGGAGATCTCCCGGACCTGCGCGCCGTAGGGCGTGATGACGCCGATCTCCTGCAGCGGTCGGAATGTGTATACATACTTACAAGCATACATACATACACATATACTCGAAGATGTACATTAGTAAATGCGAATGTGCGTGACTATCCTGAAATATGTCCGCCAGCGAGCACCCCAAACGGTGATGTATTGCTGTCTACGCAGTGCAGTTTAGGCGTTGCCGCAAAGAAAGAAATGCAAACCAATGCAAATCAACGTAACGCAATGCAAAGCAAAGCAGTTCAAAGCAACGCAATGCAAAGCAATGCACAGCACTGAAAAGCAATGCCAATGCGATGCAGTGCGATGCAACGCAATGTAAACTAGTGCAAAGCAATGAACCGCAATGACAAGCAAGGACAAGTAATGCAAAGCAGTGCAAAACGATGCAGGGCCAGGCAAGCTAATGCCGAGCAGTGCAAAGCAGTACCAAGCAAGGCAATGCAATGCGATGCAGTGCAATGCAGTGCCGTGCAGTGCAAAGCAGAGCAAAACAATGCAAAGCAATGCGTGGAGACGGCGGCGGCGGCGGCCAGCCACATGCCGCCCGGACCGCCACTCAGGCTCGGCTACCAGCGGCGACGGCGGCGGCGACGGGCGGCCACATGCCGGTCGGACCGCCACTCAGGCTCAGTTGTCTCAGGAGACCAGCAGGTAAAGAGCCCCTGAGTGCTAGCACTGTTCGGGGAACAAACACAGTGGGCATCGGAGGGAGGAAGTGCGAGCACTTGCGCCGACGTGAAGGGGAGTCAGGGTGCAAGGCGCCAGCTGCACACCTATACCTGTCCTGGACGGGCCGACCGGTGCAGCCCGACTGGGGTGCAACTGTTGTCCTGCGGATCCAGCACCCTGACTTGTTCAATACGGGGCCCCCGGAGTCCCGACCCTTTCCCCAGGACCGGCCTTCGTATCCTGAAGCGTTCCCATCCAAGTATGTTGGGTCCTCGTCTTGAAGAGACAGCGCCCCGCGCCTCACCTCACCTCCGTCCTCCCCCTCCTCCTACTACCCCTGCCTCTGCCCTGCCTCGAAACTTCCCTCGCACGCTTCGTCGCCCCATAAGCAACTCCACCGAAGGTCCCAGCGGAAGGGTCCGCATGGCGGCCCACACCCGTTTCGGCACACCCCTCACACGTTTCGTAGCCCAACAGGGAGCTCCACCTAAGGCTCAGCGGCAGGGTCCTCATGGCGGCACCGCACCCATGTCGGCACACCCCTCACACGCTTCGTGGCCCCATAGGGGGCTCCACCGAAGGCCCCAGCGGCAGGGTCCCCATGGCGGCCCCGCACCCTCTTCGTTTTCCCTCACACGTTCCGTGGCCCGCGGCCCCATAGGGAGCTCCACCGACGGCCCCAGCGGCAGAGTCCGCATGGTGGCTCCGCATCGATTTCAGCACATCCCTCACACGCTTCGCGGCCCCGAAGGGAGCTCCACCGAAGGCCTCAAAAGCAATGCCCGCATGGCGGCCCCGAACCCGCGTCGGCACACCTCTCACACTTTCCGTGGCACCATAGTCCTGCGACCCACCTGGCTTTCAGTACTCGCGTCCGCTTATGGTTCGGTCCTTCGCCAGACTAGGTGTTAGACGGCCCCGGGGCCCAGCGAGGGCCCCCAGAGACCGAACACGGCTGCTCTCTTTCAGTCCGAGGGCGGAGGACCTGTTGGCAGACGAGCCGCCTGGCCGCATCGCCCGTGAACAGAAGGGCCCAGAGGGGGTGGGGCTCACAGCTCCGCCGTGGGCGAGGAGCTTGTGCTCGCCTGCCAGCGCGCCAGCTGCAGCAGGTAGCTCTTCGTGTCCTCCCAGGGGCGGAGGATCTGTGGGCAGGCGAGCCGCAGGGCCGATCGCCGCGGGAACAGAAAGCGCCCGGAGGGGCTCACATGCCGCTGTGGGCGAGGGGCTTGTACTCACCCGCCAGCGCCAGGTGCGACTCAAGCAGGTCCCCAGCGTGCGAGACTACCCGAGGTGGGGCCTTCGAGACTGCGATCTCGTACATGGACTCCCAATTCTTCCCAGTGACGAAGAAGGTCCCCGATTTCTTGTTGTACGCGATGCCGTTGGCGACGTGGTACCCACCCCTCTCGTTTGCCGCGATGGGCTCCGTATCCTCGAGGTGGAACACGCCGGCGCACTCCATGGTCTCCGGATCCATTGCGAACACCAGTCTGGTGTTGACCAAATTTGCCAGGAGCTTGGGGCCAGTGCCGGCGAAGTCCTTAGGGGCTGACGCGACGATTCGATCTTCCCGCGTCCACCCCTTGCCCCCCTTTCGTTGAGGCCTTCCGTAACGACTTCAGTTGTCCCTCGACTCGCGCTGGAACTTATACGATATATCGTGTGTGATCCGGATATGCTATCTCTGGACTCACCTCGTCTCTTCCGAATGTGCCTCAAAGTGCGCAGACCTACCTGCTTTATCTGGTTTGTTCCCCGCAAGTCGATCGGAGCAGAGTCGTCAAGCCCTCGGGGAGCGTGGGGAAGTCGGGGGGAAGAGAAGCGCATTACCGCACGGGTTTCTCTTGTTCTTGCTCGTGCTGTTCTTCCTGCTTGCCCCTCCTCCTCTTCCTCCTCCTCCTTCACCTCCTTTGTCACTCCTCCTCTTCTCCTCATTCCGCCTCCTCCCGCTCCTCCTCCTCTTCGTCCCTCCGCTCCTTCCTCCCCCATCATCCGAATCATCCCTCCCCTCATCATCTTTCTTCTATCCTCATCCCCCTCCTCCTCCAACATCCTCCTCCATCCTGAATCCCTGATTCTTATATGCTCCCTCTCTGCCACCAAGCCGACAGAAGACACCCCCATCTGGGGGAGGTCCCAAAGTCAACGTTCTCCCTTTCGCCATGGGCAGTTCCGTCGCCGGCGATGCACAGCAGGCCAGGGGCGCCGCGCGCATCGCCCGCGAAGCGGCGAAATGGCGCTCTCGCCTCAGCGCCACGCGTGTCATGCTCGGGCGCGGCGCACGTGTGTTCGCCAGCAGAATCGTCGAAGCGAGGGCCGCACCCGAAGGAGCGGAATGCCGCTGGCGCTTTCGCAGGTTTCGCTGAAGAGCTGTGCCCCCGCTCGGGCGCGCCGCATGCTTTGCCCTCGCCAGTCCTGCCAGAGATGTGCCTGGGCGCGGCTGAGCTCAGTGGTGATGGTGTCTCACTCGTAGTTCCGCTTGGGAGTGTAATGTGAGAACTGCTCTAAAACAAAAGCATACCGTAGACGCGTCTACCCCTTCTCCGACCTTGAACCGCGCCGAACGCAACGGCCGCGTTGTCTATAGACGCATCCACCTTGAGTGTGTCTATAGACGTAACGACACACAGCGTGTCCATGGACTCCTGTGGCTAGAATGCGAAAACGGCATGTCACATGGGCCCGAAATGTTGGTCTTCTCGAAGCACCTCGACGTTGCCCTCCAAGTAATGCTGCCTCTCACTGGGAGTTCCGCTTCCGAATGTGCGCAGCCCACGGGTTCTCCCACCGTGTCTCGGCGGCGAGCGAGGGGGGAAATGACATGTAGAAGGCCTTCTCAGAAGGCGGCGGGGCTTCTCAGAAGCCCTCGGGCCCACTGAGAAGTTTCTGTGTCTTCGGGGAAGGCTCAGAAAGCTTCTCAGAAGGCTAGGGGGACTCCCGAGCCTTCTGAGAGAGCCCGCTCCTCCTCGCTTCCCCTCCTCGCTCGTCGCCGAATGTCGGAGGCGGGGCCCCGCGCGCGCGCGCGAGTAATTACCTCACGCTGGCTGGGCAGGAGCGCGCGCGAATCCGAGCATCCTGTTGTGCCAACAGCGATATCCCTGCACAACGCTACAGTGCTCCCCCGCCCCATGCCCCATCCATCCTCCCTCCTCCTCCTCCTCCTCGTTCCTTCCTCCCCCTCCTCCACTCTCCTCCCCCGCCCTGCCCCTTCTCCTCCTGGACAAAGGGCGAGGACGCGGAAACGCGGGGAGGAAAGCTGGGCCGGGCAGAAGATGCCCGGCGACGTCCTCCACCATCTCCAGCTCGTTCAGGCCCCGGAGTCGCTTGCCCATGCAGTGCGCGACCTTGGTGCTCTCGTACTTCCAGGTGCCCGCGGCGAGCGACATCACGTACTCCGTACCTCGAGGGACAAGGATGGTTGCAAGATGTCTGTTCTCCGTCCACCTCCTCCGCGCAAACGGGGGGGGGGCGGGGGGGGGGGCAGGAGTGAGGAGGAAGACAAGGGAAGAGGAAGGAAGAGAAGAAGGATGGAGGAGGAAGGACGTCGGAGAGGAGGAGAGGGTGGAGAAGGGCGAGGAAGACGAGGAGGGTGCTGAGAAGAAGGAAGATGGTGGAGGAGGGAGGTGGATGGGGCGGGGAGGAGGAGAGAGAACCACAGATAAGGAGGCGAAGGAGGATTGTGGAGGGAGGGTGAGGGTGAAGAGGAAACACTCCTCCTCGTGCGAGACTGAAGCTCCTCCTTGTGCCAACACTGGCCATGTTGGTAGGGCGGGCTGGATCTTTCGCTGAATACCCACAGCTGGTCATTGGCCCTGGGAATTGCACGAATGGACGGCGGGCCTCTTTCAACATGAGCGCCGAACACACTGTTTTGAACCAGTCCGACAGCTACTCGGGCGAAGCGTTGTGCTCTAAACACATGTAACCCTCGCATGGGAGCATCGCACATTCGTCGTGGAAGCTTCGTGAATGGGGGAGGTTTCCTTTTCGTCGTGGAGCTTGGGCTTGAGATCTCCTTGAAAAACCATGCCGCAAAACGCACACGTAAACCCCACGGGTGGACAGCACGATTCGCATTGGCAAGCTGGAACTGTCGCTCGATACTCCCGCATGTTATCTCACCAGAAGCTTATACATCACGTAAGAACGACGGGTTTCATCATGTATACATCAGAAGCTTATACATCATGGAAAACGGCTCCATTTCAAAACCGGGCTCTCGGCAGGGACTCGCTTGACCTCGGTGGCCATACCCCGTGGCGGGTCGTGAAGCCGAAGGACCGAGGGCGGCTCCCCCTTCAAAGCACTGCGGATCTCCCGCCCGAGTGGCAGGCCCATGGGGGGCCTCGTCGTTCAGCTGGGCGCTCCCCGCAGTGAAAAGCAGTGGACTTGGACAGGGAAGGTCTTTCGAGGCATCGTCGATGCATCCTTGGATTGCTCAGGCCCTCATCCCCCTCCCGATGAGAACTGTCCTTTCCGCCTGTGTCTTCCTCCTGAGGCACCCGACTGAAGGTCTCGGCCCCTTCCTTGGAACCGGCTTCCAGGTCCCAATCCGTTTCAGGCAGCCCAGGGGCCTGGAGGCCGAGAACTGCCAAAAACCCTTCCGTCGCGATTCCTTCACAGCGCGAGGGGGTCTGGGCTTATGTTCCCATCGCACTTCAGGACCACATCTCAAAATCAATTTCGAGCACCCAGAAAAATATCGAAACAGTGTCTGCCCGAAAAGCTGGCGAAGCGTCGAACGAGTATCGCCTCCCAGGGCCCGGCACGTGAAAACCTTCCCATGGGTGTCGCCCTTCAGGGCCCCCAAGCTTCGGTACTTTCTTGGTGCTCGAAAATGTTTCGGGTCGGGCGAAAGGGAGGGATAGCAAAGGGGGGGTTTGAGAATCAGCTCACGTAGCTGATTTTCCCGGCGCCGCCCAGCGCCGGAGGCGGCTGTGTATCCAGGAATGGGCCCCTCGGTGAGGCCGAAACCAGCTGCATGCAGCAAATTTCGTAACCCCCCCTTTCCCAATCCCCCCCTTTCGCCCGGCCCGAATGTTGCTGTGTGGTAGAACGTCTGGGCTCGGAAATCACAAATCGGCCCCCGGACCTCTCGGGGCGCATTGCGAAGGGAATCCAGCGCCACGGTGACGGGAAGTTCCGCGGAGGCTGAGCAAGCGCGAAATTACAAAAAGCGGAAGGCGCGGTCCTCCAAAGATCGACGACGACGACGACGATTTCCGTCCGCTGGGCACCGTTGGTGACGAGGAAGGACCGGCCGTCGGGGCTGTTGGCCAGGCCCCAGCCGTTGTAGGGACGGCGACAGGGCCAGAGCCGCCGGGCGCGCAGCCCGAAAGGCGCTCGGCCCCAGGGGTCCCCGGCGACGCGAGGCACCAAGCCAGGGGCTCTGCACTGTGGACACATACGAAAAAAAACATCTTGCTGTAAGAAGCCTTGGGACACATGATTCGCTGACCTTCGAAGGTCTAAGGTGGCCTAGGGCCAAGAGGTTCTGTGCGTGATGAGTGCTACCGGGGGATGAGAAACTTCCACGATATTGTGTTCTAATCCTGTGGCGCGTGATGTTCGTTGCCCAGGTCCCCCCTGGTAACGGTAACGATCGCACGTAGAGAGTCCGGGCGGCCAAGACACCCTCGCACACGCTGGTGCTCGTGCGCAGCAGCCCCGCCCCGACGTGCCAACCCCCGCCCAGGCGTTGCAATGACCCAAGTTCCACCCCCCGGTAACGACCGTTACAAGACATCATGAAACAAAATCCGTGACATATCTGCTGGAAGGTTCGCTATTTGACGTGTCTACTGTACTCGGGACCCACCATCGCTAAGAGGAGTCTCGAGGAGTCTGACCGAATATGGTGCGGGGCTCCCAAATTCTAGCCCATAGTGAGTTGAACTCGTGAGGATAATTAAGATCGGCCATTGTTTTCACAACCCGCAGCGCTTCTGGAAAAGAGCTGTTGCTTCTCTTCCTCCTCCTCCGCCTGCCCTTCCTTCTCCTCCCCCTGCATTTAGGCCGGGCATGTCCTCTTACAGGCGGATTTTGAGAGAAAAATTAAAACAGCCAAAACGTAGTCAAACAAGGTTACAAATCAAAGCACGGGAAATCGTCACCAGACTCTGTTCGCAGACCATTATTGAAGAGGCATGTCCGACTTAAAGCCTGGTGTCTTACCCGTGCGCTGGACGGCGCATGGCTCGTGTGACGACAAGAGCGCCTTCTCTCTTTCGTCCGCCCGCGCCCTGAGCGGCCGCCCCCACGCGGGCAGACTGGCCTGACCTCAACCTTTGCATACCCTGGGCCCGCCCCTGCCCAGAAAACTCTGCGGGGAAACGGCTGAGCGGGTGCGGGTCTCCGCCATGCTGCCTCGACCTTAGACCCGGGCGTCGCCCAACAAAGACCGGGACGGCCCGTTTGCCTGCGACTTTCTCGGAACCGTCGGATCTACGATGTCCCATGACTTCCGACCCAGCCGGCTCGGCCGCAAAGTAGCATCACGTTTGACAGCGTGCTCCCCTACACATACATCTATGGATGTGCAGGGACGGTGGATCATGATGGATGTGTGATGGATGTGTGATGGACGGAAGTTTGGGGGTGAGATCGCAGTGGAACGGAGACCCCAAACCAGGAAATCGTCTCGTTCGTGTCGTCCTTGCGGGCGAGGCGGAGCTGCGTGGGCGCGCGAGAGGAATGAACCCGACGCTGTTAGGGCGAAGCCAAGACAAATGATTCTCCCCCGCCCGCCCGTCCGGCGGTGGCTCGCGGAGTCCCGCGGTGTCCGGTGGCGTCTCGTGGTGTCCGCCGTTGCTAGGGCGAAGTCAAGACAACTGATTCTCCCCCGCCCGCTCGTCCAGCGGTGGCTCGCGGTGTCCCGCGGTGTCCCGTGGGGTCCTGTGGTGTCCCGTGGTGTCCGCCGCTGCCAGGGCAGAATCAAAACAAATGATTCTCCCCCGCCCGCCCGACCGTCCGTCCGTCCGGCGGTGGCTCGCGGTGTCCCGCGGTGTCCCGTGGTGTCCCGTGGTGTCCCGCGGTGCCCCGTGGTGCCCCGTTAAGTGAGATCGATAGTGAGATCGATAGTGAGATCGATACTGAGATCGATAGTGAGATCGATGTGGTGCCCCGAGGTGTCCCGTGGTGTCCCGAAGTGTCCCAAAAAGTGGGATCGATACTGAGATCGATAGTGAGATCGACAGGTGTCCCATGGTGTCCCGTGGTGTCCCGTTGAATGATATCGATAGTAAGATCGATAGTGAGATCGATACTGGGATCGATGTGGTGTCCCGAGGTGTCCCGTGGTGTCCCGTTGTGTCCGACGGTGCCCCGCTGAGAGAGATCGATAATGAGATCGATAGTGAGACCGATATTGAGATCGACAGGTGTCCCGTGGTGTCCCGTGGTGGCCCGTGGCGTCCCGTGGTGTCCCGTTGACTGAGATCGATAGTGAGATCGATAGTGAGACCGACAAGTGTCCCGTGGTGTCCCGTGGTGTCCCTTTGAGTGAGATCGATAGTGAGATCGATTGAGTCAGACGTTGGTTCCCCCCTTCTCCCCCCCCCACAACCTCCTTATCATCCGAAAGGTGGTCGTATAGGTATACATGCAGTCCCAGCTGTTCATGCAAGCCAGTTGGTGCAATCTGTGTGGTGCAGTGTATGTGGGTCAAGCTATGGGCGCAATCTACGTGGCGCAATCTACGGGGTGCAAGATGTGAATGCAGAAAACCGAGACAAGTTTCAAAAAGAAGCACGCCTTGTTTGGGAAATGATGTGACGCCACTAAGAATCCTCATTTTGCTTCCCCTCCTCCTCCTCCTCATCATCAAGCCCCTCCCTGTTTAGAATCCTGCTCGTATTTCTCCCCCCCCACGAACCCAGCCCCCGAATAAACTCTCCAGCGCGATGGCTGACCGAATAGGCACTGCACGCACCGTTCCAGCCTGTCGGATAAGGATGCTTGCTCACCACCTTGAAGTCCTTGTCGTACTCTATGGCCAGCTTGTCCTCGTAAGTCGTCGCGTACCAACGCTTGCCACTCTCGACAATGCCCTCGATGAAGCGGTTCTTTCCCTCCTCGTCGATGAGACCGTCGGAAGTGGACCGCCGCACCTTGCCTGGGGAAGGAGGCACATAAGCAAGAGACAACAGAAGAAATATAGAGGAAGATGGGACGCAGCATTCTCCCTCCCGCGGATGCTGCGATTGTCTGCGCTTCGTCTTGCTTGCTCTGCCCGCACTCGGACACAGCACGCCCCCTCCATCCACGGCTGACTCCTGGTGAGGGGGGTCAGCACGGGAGGGTGGAGTGCAGAATCCTTGCCGCCATCCCAGGCTTACTTTGGTCCTCTTCCTTTTCCTCGTCCCCATCCTTCTCCTCGAGCCCCTCCTCGTCCCCCCCCCAA